AAAACCAATTTTTGCTCATATTGAAAGGCTTTCCCTGGAAAAGTTCAAATATATTGTTTTGTAATTATTCCGTTTCAACTTAGAGAAATAATACCATTCCAAAAAATAATAGATATACAATATCGACTATCTTCAGGAAGAATACAACATGCTTGTTTTTAGTGAAAAGATATTTGATAAGAGTGCTCTCAAAAATGTCAAAAAGCCAATTATATTAGAGTAATTTTTGTCATTAGCTTTTTTCCCAATGAACTGACATCCACAAGCCATTTTTTTCCGTGCAGCAATAGTATATGTTGATTGTCAAAGTAAAATACTTTATTTTTAATTGATTCTAGTAGCAATACCAGTGAATGATGTTCGAAATTTTACCAAACTCAATAATACGTAATGTGTTATCATTAAACACTATATCCATGCATTAACACTAGAAATTTTTGAGTGTACAGATACAGGAAATAGGTATGATTTCCTGTTTTCTACGCAAATGTTTGATAAAGTCAGATATGTCAAATAGATCCGATAGAAAACCTTAGGAAATTACGATTCACTCCCTCATCAACTCCTAACCCTCAAAATTTATTTGGATAATGATCAAGAGCCCCTGAATCGTCAAAAAACAAAGTTTGAGCGATTTCTATTTTTTCGTTTGTGGCCCTTTTCTCTGACGCCACTGGACCTATTTTTAAAAGCTAAAGCTTTCTTGTCCATAGCCTCGTAGCAACCTTGTGTCTAAATTTCATCAAAGTCCCAATGGTACTTTCCACGTTATAGCAGAAATGAGTATCATGGTTTTCCGTGATCTACATGTCATATAGCATCCAACAAAACATAATACCTCACTTTCAAAATATCTTGCGATTACAATACTTCCTCGACCGTTGACGTGGGAAGTAAAACATGATATCTCTGATTTGCAATTTTAGATTTAGAATTTTATCACCCCGCTACTGTACCATATAGGAAATAATCAACACAATCTCCCGTTTAAAATTATCATTGTCTACATATAAAGTCGAGCTACTTGACACCGTGAGTCAAAAGCACAGTCTGTAGTGATTTTGTATTATAATGCAAAAAACGGAATCAGTACATATACAGGTATGTACCCTAAAAAAGATGTAAAGCAGCAGCTAGAAAAAAGCCAAAATGAGCTTTGATTGAAGTATTCTATTTTTAAATTTTCAGTGATGTATGGTCACACTCAATCTACTTGACCCTGTTCTTTAACTTGAAAAAAAAAACATTGTAGCTTTACATTCAAGAATCACCTATACAAAACTAAACCAACAAGATTAGATAAAGTTTGGCGTAAAATTTATGGGGGTTGACCTTTTGAACAGCATTGTTTTATCCTTCACGCTACTCAATATTCATTGCTTTTCCATTAAATGTAAGTAATACAGTCATATTACCATCATATCCTATTAACGATTGCATAAGAGTTCAAAAAGTCATACTTACCTCAACAGTCCTTTCAGACACACTCTTGAATACACAACAGATTTGAACGTCCTTCCAGCACGATTGGTGCCAATAAAATGAATTCTCAGATCTTAGACAAACCGACAAACCCTATCCCCGGGCGCACGCGCTTTATTGACTGGAATTAAAATGATCGGGAGACCGATCTGACGTCAGACGTACGCCATTCAGCTAGTTCGGGTATTGTGGAGGACTCAGCACTGGTTTGCGTATTGAAGAGTATTCTTCATGGGAGATTGATCCACCAGTGTTTAGTTAATTCGAGTATTTTGGGAGACTCAGTGCTGGTTTCTTGTGAATCGTATGGTAGAAGAGTATTCTGCATGGAAGACCGATCTAGCAGTGTTTAGTAAATTCAAGTATTTTGGGAGACTCAGTGCTGGTTTCTTGTGAATCGTAGGGTAGAAGTGTATTTATTCTGCACGGAAGACCGATCTAGCAGGGTTTAGTAAATTCAAGTATTTTGGGAGACTCAGTGCTGTTTTTTTGTGAATCCGAAGGTATTTTGATGGACGATTGTATCATATGGCTTTTGGTTGGCGTGACTATATGGTTAAGTCTGAGCTATTAGAGAAAATCGTTGATATACGATTTTATTTCAAGATTAGGAATATTCTCATAGATAGATGGTACCAAACATGAATGGTGATTTCCTTATCCAAAGATAACGTCACATGATTGTAAGGCTCAGTATAGTGATTAGGTAATTCAAGTATTTTAGGATACTCAATGCTGTTTTTTGCGAACCGGAGGGCAGGGAAGTATTTCAACTGCTAATATCACAGATTTGGAAATTACGCGTCTAAAGCTTATCATCATTAGGATGTCGTCGATACGACATAGGCTATTGGAAAAGCAAAGTGCTCGATCTGAAAGTTCATACAACCTCCTGGACATGTAATAGAAAAAAGTATTCTTGATTGTGTGGGCTGCTCGATGATCTGATAATTTTTGCATAGGTAAGTTATAATTTACGAAACGTTGGGCATCCTTCTGTCGTATGCTAGCAACGTTTTGTATAGTCTTAATCGAGCAAATAGTGTACTCAAAGTTGCTGGAAAGAATTTTGGTTATATCCATTGGAGATCCTTGAAAAATAATATAATAATACAAGTCCAAGTTAGGAGACTTCAGTAGTATTATGTAAAGAGAAATAAATGAAACTTGGCACCACTGCACGGATGACTTATCTACTGGTGTTTAGTTAATTTGAGTATTCTGGGGGACCGAATGCCGTTTTGTGATCTGAAGGGTATTCCGGTAGAGGACACATCTTACGGTTTTTAAAAGGTAGACCTATATAGCGGACTTTATATGAAAATCCGAAATGTTAATGTACAGTTTTTTGAGCTGATCCTGGATCAGTTTGCCTTTTTGTTGGATATACACGAATCAAATTTGATATATATTCGATATTTCTGGTAGGTGACTTATTGCTGGGAATTGAAAGGATTACCGATCCACATGGAGATGTAAATATATATATATATATATATACAGGGTGACTTTGAAGTTGAGTCATTAATTTTCAGATAATGATTGTAGAAGGAAGATAAACCAAAATATGTGTGTAAAAATAAAAAAAAATAAAAAAAAACTTTTACCTTGTTTTATAAAGTATCCTCCCGACAAGCATTTCAGTGCGGACCTGTATTTGATCGTGAGGTCCCCTGTGAGGTCTTAAGTCACCTGATTCACGAGCCCGTTGTACTACATTAACAAAGGCACGAGGGGTTGGTTGCACTCGATTGGGAAACCGATCCGCATAAACATGTGCCATTTTTTATTTCGTTTGAGCCACGCAACAGACACCACTATTCACACGCGTACCGACTGACACTGACTGTATGTATACAAGTGAATAAAATAATTGTAAAAACATCGTTCCACATTCTTTCGCTTTTTTGTTTCCGATGCGATGAACCGATAAGGCGGATTATATCCGTTGTCGCCAAATACGAGCACATAATATTATTATTGAGACAGGGCGGTACTCAAACTTCCAAAGGGCTATAACTTTGTTACTTTAATTTTACCAGAAAAATGGTAAAGGAAAAAAACATTTCTTTTGATCAGATCTAATCACTGTTAAAATAAATGACTCAACTTCGAAGTCACCCTGTATATATATCAACAAAATAGGAAAATAATGGGCAAAATCCGAAAAAACAAGGAAAGTGTATTCGAGCAGAAAATAGCTTAGGTAACCCGAGCGATATGTGTTTCTGCTGTTGGCTTCATCGGGCTCGAAATGAATCCACATATGCAACTAAAAAAGTAGATACACATGCCCGTACATCCGGATACGGGTGTAACCTGAGGAAACGAAGATGGAGAGGGAAAAAATGACACACGAAGTCCACAACAAGAGCCAACCTACACATTGTAGTATAAAATGGCTAGAAGGCCTCGAATTTTCAAAGCGACATCTAACCACAACCACGCGGCCGGCTATAGCCACCTGCTGTGGTACTTCAAGTCCAAAGGATCTACAAACAAAATTATTATGCGGAGAAAGGTATATAACAAGAAATAAGAAAATAATGGGCAAAATCCGCAAAAAGAAGGAAAGTGGATTCGAGCAGAAAATAGGATAGGTAACCCGAGCGATACGTATTCCTGCTGGTTGGCTTCATCAGGCCCGAAATGGATGCACATATGCCCATACATCCGGATACGGGTGTAACCTGAGGAAACGAAGATGGAAAGAGGGACTCAAAATATCGATGCTTTGTTGGAACAAACTAGTTAAAAAAGTGTATAGAAACAACACACCGAGCCTTTAATACTTCATGAACCGTGGCTGTGACTTATTAACAATTCTCGTCCCCTAAAGCTATTTTTATGAATAGTGTATTGCAGACCGAAAAATACGTGAATAATTTAAGTTATCGGAGACACCAATAATAAATATACGCGGACTTGATCTACAACGTATCCTCGTTAGAGCACTGCACAGTATGTCTTGCATACTTAGGCCAGGACCTTCCCCTTCTATATTTCTAGCTACTTGACGTAATATAAGCAATGCAAATGCCTTCGATAATGCATCAAAAGTAAACATGATCATTATCATTAATATTTATTACCATTATCATTGGCCAATATGTGTATATGTGCTACAGTGGCAAACCCATGAAGCTTGTGCGTTTCCTTTTAGAATAGCCATATTGCTTCTGAATGATTTAGCATGTATTTATGTTAGAGAGCAAATCAATTTAACATTTAATATGCAAATGATCGACATTTCCTCCCCATTTGTTTTCTGTGTAAACATCCTACAGGATGGTATCATTCACTTCCTCGTCTTTTGTGTTGCTTATAACCGAGATTCTTGAATGAACTAATTCAAACACCTTACCTTCGGAATTATGTTTAATTATTGTTAGCATTCGCATTGTGTATCCAATTTGCCATGTATTCGATAGCGGTTGAGTCATTGGCGGAATAAAATTTTATCGTATGCAGCATTGTTGTAATCTCTAGTAGTATATATTTAACGTCAGTAATTGAGTGATTAATAAAAGTATTAATGCGTGACAAATTTGAAAATTTCGATCAAAATCTATGAGTGCAGTGCCATACAAACATGAAACGGCTAAATAAGTAATACCTAATGATTTCAAAAATTAAATATAATATATATATATAGGGTGACTTCGAAGTTGAGTCATTTATTTTAACAGTGAGTAGATCTGATCAAAAGAAATGTTTTTTCCTTTACCATTTTTCTGGTAAAATTAAAGTAACAAAGTTATAGCCCTTTGGAAGTTTGAGTATCGCCCTGTCTCAATAATAATATGTGCTCGTGCTGGCGACAACGGATATAATCCGCCGTATCGGTTCATCGCATCGAAAACAAAAAAGCGAAAGAATTTGGAACGATGTTTTTACAATTATTTTATTCATTTGTATACAATCAGTGTCGGTGAATAGTAGTGTCTGTTGCGTGGCTCAACCGAAATAAAAAATGGCACATGTTTATGCGGATCGGTTTCCCAATCGAGTGCAACCAACCCCTCGTGCCTTTGTTAATGTAGTACAACGGGCTCGTGAATCAGGTGACTTAAGACCACACAGGGGGCTGCATGCCGGTGCTCCAAGACTTCACGATCAAATACAGGTCCGCACTGAAATACTTGTCGGGAGGATACTTTATAAAACAAGGTAAAAATTTTTTTTAATTTTTTTTTATTTTTACACACATATTTTGGTTTATCTTCCTTCTACAATCATTATCTGAAAATTAATGACTCAACTTCAAAGTCACCCTGTATATATATATATATAATAGTTTATAGGAATTCTGCTCTTACCTTAGCTATACACTTTTATTTTAAGGTTACAAAAATCTATGAACATCAGAGGCAAATTGGCCTTGTTCTCCAGATCTTTTGTCTATGATGCTACCAGAGCATACAATTTACTGCCAGAAGAGTTTAGATTATTAAGTATCGATAAATTCAAATATAAATTAATGAAGAAGTTACTCGATGGTCAGTGAAAATTATGATACGGCTTCACCGCTAATTTTCCACTTATTATATTCTACTTTTTTTATATATTTATGCTTGCTTACTTTTTGTGTAACATTTATCTACTGTATCAATTCAGCTTACTAATCGTTTCTCTTATATGTACATATACATATATGTACCAGCTCCCAGAGAAGAAATATTATTAATTTTTTTTTAGTTTTTCGAGTGTGAATTCGCTGGTGGTTAAGTCGAGTAGCCTGCCGCTAGACTTCACCATCAGTCTATTTGATTTTTCTATATATAGTTGTTATTTTACTATAATAATAGTTATTTATTCTACAAGGGAAAAAAGTACTACTAAAATCTAGCATTTTTCCCGTGTATAATACAGAATTTTTATCTGTGACGGGAAAAATGACGATTTAATATGGAAAAATTATACCATTACAATATTTAAGTGAGAAAACTATCGATGTGAAATTTGAAATTAGTAGCCTATGCTGTACTTATAGCGACAATTAGACTTGCGTTGCTAAGGAAACTTTTAAAGTGATCAAATATCTGTCAGTTTAATTTTGTGATTTTATTTAAGAATTGTGAACTTAGTGGTTGTTTAGAAGTTATTTTTAATACTATAAAGTAAACAATGTCTGATTCCGAGTTTTCTTTGAATCCACGGGAATTAGTAGAAGTAGCCAAAGTAGCGTCACAAAAATTATTGTCAGCTAAATATGTGTTTTTATACAATATCCGGGAAAAAAGTAATTTTATAAAAAATTACATTTTGTTACCTGTCAACAGAGATAAAATGTCAAAATTTGTTCCTGTCACAGAAAAGATATTATTATTATTAAATCGCGGCCTCAAGAATGTAAAATTTATAGTGATTTTCTAAAAGAGTGTACTGAATCTTTTGAGTCGTTTCCTAGTTGTGGAGCCCATTTCATTTTGTTTACCGTCTGGTAAAATTACTTTTTACAAACCAAAAATGAAATCTAAGTAACTTCAGATTCGCACTGCTTATAATCTGGCATCGAAAAGGAAAAGAGTAGTAAACAACATGGCAAACTACTGCTGGCGCGGCGTGCCTTTGCATTGACAAAGTCGATGTGCACGTATCCCGCCCTATTCAAAGAGATGCCGCGCTTGCGGTGGCCTACAATGTGTTCTGCTGCTCTCTTACTTTTCGATACCCGAGTATAGAATTTACGGTGCATAGTGTAGAGTAATCTGAAGGACTGGAAGTGTTTATAGAAATGTCTACACTCATATGATTTTCCTCCCATTTCCATTTTTAACATGGCGGTAGAGTGAACGTAGATACATATCTTCTTCAACTGTAAAATTGACAGTCAGGTAAGACAACCGAAAGATACATATATTTCTTTTCAAAAAGGCTCCCACTACGTATTTTTAGCAAGCCGAAGTTTAGGGAAATGAAACTGATGCATACTGAATTCTAGCTTAAAAGGGACCATTCAAGTATTACGTAAGTACTAAAAGAGCAAGGGTCGTCACTTTGCTTATTTTTGGTGACTTGACAGATGGGAGGTTCTAGATGGTGATTACGTCAACAATATTTATTTTTTTATTTTTTCGGATTTTCTAAAAAATGTAGTCGATTTTGATTCGAACACATTATGGTAAATTTGCTTGTGAATGCTCGTCAACGAAACGCATCTTCAGGAATTCATCAAATATGGATATGCTTACTCTCTTAGAACCTTAACCATAAATGCTCCTGGTAGAAATGCTTATAACCAAGGACTGTGCAAAATGGCTCATCTTAGTTAGAAATTGGATGGTTTTATACTACCTCATGATCACTTTGGGTCTCATTTAGATGACCGTGCCGTTACAATTAATGAACATTTAGAAAGATCCAACTTCGAGTTTGGTGGAAATGTATTAGAAGAGGTATGTATTTCAATCGAAATTAATGATTATCATAAAGTATGTTGGGTCGAGTGAGCCAGATAGTCCTGATTTTGCAGTAATTGTATTCAGAACATATGCGTGTGAGCCGATACTTGCTTCAAATCGTAAAATGTACCAAAATGTTTACGTAAGCATTGGAGAGGATAGGGTAAGAGGGTTTCTTACTTTTGCTGACAAAGGGGAGGGAGGGGGTTAATAAATGTAAAAAAATCTGCTTACAGAATAATTGAACGGTCCCAAAGTGGATACCTCATTTTGAACCTCCTCATAAGTACTCTATAACCCCATAATATTCAATCACTATGTATGGAAACCCCGAACTGACAGGCTATCAAATTTGAGGTAGCTTATAACTCAACAACCAATCACCAAAAAGTTTGTTATATCAATATTTTTCTCTTGTAAGGGTCAGTTTCAATATATAATAAAACATGTAACATTATATTTGAAAACGTCAAAATATCTAAATTTTTAAACTGAATGTCTCATAATTTGTGTCACATTCAGTCAAACCCTTCCAAAATAAGAGTATTTGTATGACATACGTTTCGATGACTAGTTGTTGAGTTTTGGGCGATTCAATATACAAAAATGCTCAACTTTGACAGCTCCCCACTCCGCCATTTGAAAGATAGTGAATTATTTTCTAGGATCATGGAACACTCACGAGGATCTTCAAAATATGCCAGCTACCATCTGCAAACTTTCAACTGTTATTTTCACTTTAATCCCGAATTTCAGCTTATAACTTAAACTGTTCAAAAAATAAACATATTAACAAATTGATGCACTAAAGGTGGAATTTCCTAGCTGCTCAATACCGCTTTACTGGCGGATTCCTTATATTCTAAGTATTTTTTAAGCATGCGTCTCATTGAATACCAAATCTAGAGTTTCAACGGCCGCGGATGGAAATGACGACCAAACTCGTCACATGACACGATAGCACCGACAGCAAAACCATCATTCGGCAGTAGTCACGTTAAACGACACAAATTTGTACAAAACCCTAAGAAGTATCTTCTCAGTCGCTCGAAAAGTATTCTGATTCGTTTTTTCGAATAATCTTATTCAAAGATGACCTCTTTTATTGAATCTGCTTGTTGATAGGCTCATAATTGCATCAAAAATTGGTTAACAACTTTTTTTAAACATATTCCAAAAAATGTTTCTTTTTTCGTTCTGGACAGACTTTATAACATTATTCTGAATAAAACAGGTTCCCCTAAACTTTTTTTAAGGGTAGCCGCCATCTGCATCTTTCACATACTCACGCAGAATCATAGTGGACGTGCTTGATTAATAATTAAAAAACAAATGTTTACAATAACAATACCACCTAAGATGGTTTGAGATTTTGTCATTAGATGTCTGAGAACTCCGGCAAAAATGATATTTTTTTTTCATATTTTTTTGGAGTTGAACATCGCATATTTTGTAATTTCACAAATACTAAATCGCTTATATCTCGTTAACTAACAATTTTAGAGTGTCCATAAGGTCCTTGTTTAACCAGAAATACGTAAATAAAACTTGATCCGGCAGGGGCATTACGTACCTTGAAACGTGACATTATGTTGTTTTTTTGTCATTATGAAGGTTTTCTTTGACATTACGTAGGTTTTCCTATAAGATGACAACTTGGAACCAGCTGTTGCCTACTTGATGGGCACTCGTTGTGCAGCTGTACGTGTTGCCTAAAAGTCATGACGCTTGAGCTTTCAAACTAGTATTCGTCACAGTTCGTCAAAGAGGCCTGGTGGACCTTTGCTCGTAGTTAAAAGTCTCTTAGTTCTGATAGTCTGTCAGGTCTGGCTACACAGATACCAAATATGTCCAAGGGCAAAATGGGAACAACAAAAGAAAGGAAGATGAAGAAATAGAGCAAATAAAAGAAGGAAATCAATTGAATTAGAACACACTTAAGCATTATCGGTTTGACTACTCGAATAATTTTGTAACTCTAAAAATAATTTTGATCGATTTTGTACGCTGAAATAATTCTGGTTGGCCTGAAATTCACAATTTAATTTTGATCACAGTGCAAGGCGCGACCTGGAGTATTTGTGACCTTGCTCGACTGCGTAGACTACTGTATATCACGCAACAGAGGGTTGCTGTGCGATTGAGCTTCCATGGTTTGGCTCTGATGTGATATAACATCTGCTTTAGAGATTGTATTACTGGAGGCCTAAGATGTAAGTTTGTTATCCCGCCAGTATGGTAGGTAATGAGACCTCAGAGTGTGATTCTTTGTACTTTGGTCTTTGATAAAAATAATTGAGGTTTGGGCACCACCAAGATTCAAGAACTGGGAAAAAGAAATAACAAATAGCGCCTTTCGGCCTATCAAAACTTAAACTGACTACCAAATGTTGGATCTGTGGGGCTAAAAGAAACACAAATTCACAAGGTACACAAACATTTATTGAAAGAAAAAAAAAGAAGCCCTAGGAGACAAGCAAAAGGTAATTAGTAGGTACTAGCCCCTCAGCTAAATAGTTTGCAGCAAAAACTAAGAGTAAAAGAAATCACCTTGGTAGGTGCTTGACTATTATAGAATGGTGGGATTGATTTCCACACAAGAGAAGGGATAGCTGCTATTGAGCCTCTCTGAGGAAAGGCTACCCAAATGGAAGCTCCGAAGCAAATTTAAGCAAGGGTAGGAAGTCCCAGATGTAAATAAGTACCCGAAGGTAGAACCCTCGAAAAATGAGGGTTCACATAAATGGGGCACTGTTCGTCACAGACGCGAGTCCTACTTAAAGATCGTCCCGGAGAATCAATGCAGACAGTTCCCCTCAGCTCGATGGTTTAATGTAGCTATGACAACGGCTATATCCACAAGAGGGTGAGAAAAGGGCTCCGGCAACAAAATTCACTAATGGAGGCCGATTTCTATCAAAATCTCCACAACCCGACAAATCTCTAGCACTGGGTGTGACATTGTTTCAGTACGCAGCTGTGCCGCACCGGAAATTATAAAAAATGACCTTTAACGAGATTTAGAGTAGAGTACGATTTTCTACCATAGAATTATTAGACCAAGAGTAGTTTCTTGTTATGAAAATAAAATTCGATATTTTTAAGAACAGTTATGAAATTATTATTCTAAATAAGAAAAACGTTGTGATAATTTACTTTATCAAGATATAGTTAATTTTTAGTAGACCATAAAAAAAACTGTTGTATACTATAACTGAAAGAAAACGGGCTAAATGCCAGTACATAGGTGCTTAGTGAGGATTTGTGTGCTAATAATCTGTCTTGATGATAATTGCCTTTTTCTCTTGTCTCATATACACTGAGATGGACGCTTCATCTTGGAAATACCATAGGCAAATTTGCCGAATTTCTAAACTGAGACAGATAAAATAAGAAAATCCCTGGTTGTGAAGCATATAACAACTAACGGGCAAGAAAATTGGCTGCATGAATTTTACATTATTTTTTATTTCCAGTTTATTAAATTTTATGGAAATTTATTTTACGTCAAGTAGAAAATAAAAATCAGCTCCTAGATGTGAGGCACTATGAAAATGTTTTGGGTGTAATGGGTCATTCCTAACTTTTCTGTGAGGTGGCCTAATTACACACAATACGGGCGATGTGGTGAGTTCCCGTAATGCTTCTCAAAGTTTTTGAAAACGCAAAAAACCGTGGAAAATCGTAATTTATAGCTTTAAACACAACCTCTCTTCAGAAAGGACAACACAAATAACCCCTCTGGTTTAATTAACATGTAGATATATGTACTTGATGGGCAGCATATTCAGTAATAATTTTCCCACATAGCAAATATCACTTTAAAATGGTTTAAATATTTCTGAACGCTATTTTGTACTTAGCAACATGAATATTCATTAATAGGAGTGCTTATTTAAAAACATTATGCAGAATAAGCCGAATCAGGATATTTTTCCGAGTGGATCCGAGGATACTTTCTGAACTACAACAAAGCATGTTGCTAGATCACCGCCTAAAACAAATGAGTTTCTAAGGCGATATTTCGTAAGACACTGTATAATCCACAATTTACGGTAAGCGGTTTCGTTTGATAGTCACGCCTGATAGAATTATCTATTACACGCCAACTGTCGTGGCGTCTGGGCTTGGAAGCTTGACATTCCTGCCGCCTCCGCCTTTCTCTGTAGCTTGATTCAAGCCGTCGTGTCGCCGTATGTTCTTCCGCGCGAGACCATAGTGTGAGACCGCAGAAATTTTCGCGAGACGCAGACCGCGCGTGGTCGTCGTCGGTGGTAGGTGCAGAACCATCGACAATCGAGTACCCACTACATTCAGGGTACCTGCTACTTCTTGGATGAGAGCCACCGTCGGCTGGTTTGGACCTTTCTTCGTTAAAGATGGTGGTTAGGAGGATTTTGTTTGGGGCAGCGGTTCTTCTGTCTGTTAACTTCGTACCAGGTTAGTAGCACTTAGAAATTAGCTCCATTATTAGTTAATGAACTGCTGAAGCTAAGGGTAATACAACTGGCATATATTTTATATGTTGCCTGAAATGTAGATGTTTCAAATGGCATTGCCTGGACCGCTATTGTCCAACTAACAGATCCTGAATCATGAAATTTCGGTTAACATGAGATTTTTTACTTTAACCTACACATATTAGATAAGATGAAGAAATGTGAAGTTGAATAATGTCTGGGAAACTTGGTTACGTGTGGCATCGAAGCGGAAGTATAGCATATTTGTAGTAATTATTCTAAATTAATGAACACTCTTAAATCAATTTGTCTCTAACCTCTCAGAGCAATCATGTTTTGTAAAATATTATCTTTTACATGTCTGGACATCTGAGACAAAAATGAAAATCAATTCCCAATGTCTCCTTCCGTTACATCTAGAAGGACACTTTTTTATAACAATATGTACCTACAGAAAAAATAATAGTGTGTTGCCAAAGCTATATTGATTGAATTGCACACTTTTAGCAATATAAACGTGAACATTATTTTAAAAATGAAGTCATAATAATAACGGGATGGGTAGCTAGATGTGTTAATGGGCTGAGCTGATCGCACATCCACTCGAAGGCTCACGGGTTCGAATCCTAGCCTCGCAAGTTACATTTCGAGCCATGGATGTTCACAAGATCAGTGCAAGGTCAAATAGGTACATCGCATCGATGGAGCTGAGTTGCTCTATTCTTGTATTTGTTTGCATTATAAAAGAAAAATACTATTTAAGCATTTTAGACATTTGTCGATGTCATTAAAATTGGTAGTTCGGTAGATTAAGACTAAAATCGGTAGATCTACCGAAACATTGGTAGACCTGCTAACACTACTAGTACTTATTCAAATAATATACCTAATTTTGTTCCATTACCATGAAAGCACACTGCCTGCTTAATAGAATGTTGTATTCCTTCGCCAGAGTCCGTGTGGCGTCCTCCCTTTCCCCTGTTTCCATCTATTGCCCCACGGTACCCCATGGGTATTTAGTCCTTAGGCCTTCGTGGTGGTTGGAGGATAAAGAAAAAAAATAAGCACTACCTGACTCTCCGACCATCCTGAGCTGTAGGATAGATTTCAAGAAAGAACCTTATTTATCAAAAAAAATCTAGATATTTCCATTTGTTATTATGATTTTTTAACGTGTCCAACTAATGTTACATATATGTATATATTTTTCATGAGAGTAGAAGTCAGTGTCGTGGCAATGAAAATCAGAAAAAAATATTAATTTGCTTCTTCTGTCGATTTATTTATGATTGCTTGAAGATTTACTAGCATCTTAGGGTTGAAAAAAGGAGCCAAGTTACATTCCGTTAGCAATGGAATATCTATATGAAAAAAAATTCCAATAGATTGTATGCCTACTTTTCACGAACAAAAACTAGATGCACGGCTTTATACCCCTACTGGAAAATTTTTGAAAATGAATGTTGTGTTTTTTTGATGTTATATATGACATGTACATCTCGAAAAACCATGTCATTTATTTCCGTCTATCTGCCTGGCGGTTTGTCTGAATCTCTGTCGGTCTGTGCGCTAATCGTATAGCCGCCTATAAGGACGAAAAATCTTTGTAGTTTTTGAAAATCCTTCCAGTGGCTGCAATAGAAACAGGCCTAAAAGGAAGGAATAAAAATCGCCCAAACTTTGTTTTTTACGTTTCATCCTGATCATTTTGGAAAAACAATTAGTGGTAAAAAAAACTTGAGGGTGAGATTGTAAGAGGAAGGAATGGTTTATCTCAATTTTTTGATGCTGGTACATTTATACGTTCCCAACATTGATAAATTCTACGCACCTATTAGGCATATTTTACACATCATGGATTTCTCTGTGCAAAATCCTCGGAAGACGGATCGCGTACCGTGATGTCTGTTTCCAGATGCATTACCAGTAGGGCAATGAAAAATGTCTATGGACTAGGGCGTTGAGAGGGACGTGCAGAGTCAACCTACTTTACGCCATTTTTAACTTTCAGAGTTTCACTAAATGTTCTATCTTCATACAATTTTTCACATAATATTATTCATAACTTTTATTACATTGCCCGTTTAATTCTACCTATCCTGAATTCGTTCATCTGATGCCACTCTTATTGTCTGGCTTGTAATTGAAGTATTAGTCCGGGATCTCAATTACCATCGATGATATGTTAACAGAAGCAAATTCGGCATAATCTAGACGTCCATCCAATACTGATCTATGGTACATTTTAAATTTTTCGTTAAAAAGTAAATAGCAATTTTGGTTAGTATTAGGTACTCAGCTACGAAAAAAAAATAAAAAAATTCCATCACGTATATTTCTTGAGAAAATCGTTTTTTGTTATTTTCCCTAGTAAATGCAGGTTATAATATAGATCCAATCCTAATTGCAGCAGCGAAAAAATCGGAGCTGCCAAAAACAAATGCGAATTCCTATATACTAAATATATGGAGTGTCCAACCAAAATCAGCAATCTCAAACATCCGAAGATAACCTGGTCAAATCTGGTACATTTTGTATGTTACTTGTATACGAATGAGTATCGAACTATACTTCCTATCCCTAAGGAGAAGGCTAAAACGTCCAAAGACCGTGACTGGTCTCTTAATAAGAAGTTATTGTGGTGTTTTGTTAAGGAAATATAAGATTGGAAGTGATAAATATTGTTAAGAACAAGAAATAGCATGTTTGGGGTTGAGGAGACAGACCAGGGGGTTGGAATTGGTCTGTCACATCAAACCAAAATAGTCTCTCCAAAGTCTCTTTCTAAAAATTTTAGTATTACTAGATATATTTACATTAATAGGCAGATGTTTGTATATTTCTAAGCCTTCAACAAACATTGACTTTTCTAAGCCTTTAGATTTAGTTAGTCTCGATAGCATTATTTTTTTACTACTGCTATCTTTTAGAATAAAAATTTATTATGAATTCAACAATTTTTGTTTACTCAAAAATAGATCTCGACATGCTGGAAACAATTTTATTTTAGTTTCACATACATATTTGAAAAAATAAAATAACCATTAGGAGGGCAAAACAAAAGTTTCATTTCGCATATTATTGTTTAAAATCATGAAAGCAAACTATCGGATTTGTGCATTTCATAGCATAATATACGGATACTGGAGACTAAATGTACAAAATTCTGTTCAGCGACATATTCTTAAATATCACTCCTAGAAAGTAGTATCTTTCTGTATTTGCACTGCAAGTATGCTGCGTGGATGCAAATTGTAGCTATCGATTTTTTTTAAGAACTCAAGCGTTCCATCTATGCTCATCCAGTTTTTACATTAGTAAATTTTGGACCAATGTCTAAACCTTATTTGAATGTTCAAAGTTGTGTGTATATATATGATGGACATATACATGATATATGATGGACATATACATGGCATCCCGAATTATATTTATGGTGCGTAATTTAAAAATGCTTCTGCGCAGTCTGACTTCTGAAATTCGTTCACTGGAAGTAATATTAGTTTAGTAATTAGCAAAATAAGTATCTGCTCCTAGTTGAGCTTTCAAGCGCTTAGTATCTTGTGTTTATTTTCTCTTGGTATTCAGTAAAATATATGTATATGTATAAGCAAACTTTACACATCTAATCTAAGCGGAAGAAAATAGATCCAGATCGAAGATACAAAAATATCCGTGCGAACTGTCGATCTGCTTAACGAAGTAGAAATAAAACAAACGTTGATGTTTTTGTTGAAAGCTATCGGTACGCCTGTAGCATATCTAATTGCATCGATTTTGATCCGCGATGGGTTTTTTCCATGTACTTCTATTCGTTATTTACTTCTATAATGGGTATTATTGATACCGCAGTTGACTTCATCTTATCTTAAACTATGCAATTGTTTATCCGTTTTTCACGTGAACGCTGGATTCTGAATAACGGAGAAAATATCCGTAACCTAAGCAAGATGTTTTTGTCATTTAGTCGACACCATAAACAACATTTGGTACTGTAATAATTATCATTCAGTAATTATTGTTTAATCTAAATTGAAGCTCTTGTTAGAAAAAAGTCTGGAGTCACATATACCATGAAATGTCCAGCATGTTTTAACGAGTGGAAATTCGGAAGTTTGGTCTCAAGCTCTTCTGTGATACATCATCAACCATATTAATCCATAATCTTTGCAACAACCGATTGAAATGGATGCAAATTTCGTAACTGACGAACAAGTATTCAAAAGTAGATATCCAGAATGGTGTCCGGTTATTCCCAGGCACCACTGTTGGATATAGTGTTCGGTTTAAAAAAAATACAACCCAATTCGATAGGACTTTCCCAAGACATCCTGTTTACAAAAAAATCTAGAATGGGAAACCTTATATTGGACCCTATGAATTTTATATGGATCTAAGCCATCATACAACCAAGTTTGGGAGTCCTACACGGGTATTTTCGAGAAACAGGCTGCAAAGGTCGCCTTTCGAGCTCTTCGTAGCGTTGTGGTCGATGATTTGTATAGTTTCTCAGTGTTTATTTACCTGTATACTACCATCTTTAAAAGCATCACGAATCTAGAAATGTTGAAATGTTTTTTTTTTCACTATTTCACATTGCTCACAAAAATCACAAACTAGACAGTATAAGCTGAATCTTAGGATACAAAATTTAACTTTTCATTTACATTTATGGCTGCCCACTCACATACGGATCTTGATGGGATTGGGAACTGACGAGCCATTGTATGAACGCCGAAATCACTTCTCACGGGGTAGGGATTTAGATATTCATGTAGTGGCTAGTTAGTCCTCGATATCTGTGAGTGGGTAGCACCTTGGCTGCCAAACTTATCAGCAAAATAGTATTCTCATAAGTACAAGGCTCGAGTACTGCTCACTGTTTGGGATGCTGCCTAACGGACAGTATCAGGACCGTTTCGCACCGACAATCCATTGGCGATCTAGCTCTCTCTACCACTATGTCAACAGTATCGGACT